CCCACATGAAGATTTATTCCAACAGAAGAAGTAATTTTCTTGACGACTCGAAGAAGGGGATCATCAAGACAGTTGGTCTCGGTAATGCATCCTCGATCCATGGCACTCATATCCTTTTGTTGAAAGTTTATCTGCATGGAGAACCGAGTCTACGTTTAGCACAACAATTGAAACAGTCAACAAAAAAAGAAAACATTTGATGGCCATAAACTGTGAAAGCCGATACCATATTAATGTAGCTAAAAAATACATATGAAATGGACACCTTCTAACACTTAACTACACAGCATGAAATGAGGAGGAAAAGGAACGTGAAACAAACTTACTGTGATGCCGTCTCCGGCTTCATTGGCCCATTCGTAGAGTTGACGGTCGAATTGAGCAAAATCCACGGTAGGAGGAAGGCGGAAGTCAACTCTGACCTCAATTTCAGCGGGGACCACGTTTGTTTGCACACCGCCGTGGATTACATTGATGTTGGTAGTAACCACACTGCCGAGAGCCAAGGTGCTGTCTTTCATCGCCTCAAACTTTTTCTTTTCTGATTCGCGGAAAGATAAAAGCCTAACGATGTAGACAAAAGTGGGACTAATTTGATGGCTCAACTTTGGGGAGATTTCCACAGTAAAAATTTCACTTAACTGTTACTCAAAACGTGCAATACATCAATGCTTTCGAGTACCTACTTGTCCATAAGTCGATGGAGTTTCTCTATAGCAATGTCTTCGATGAACTTTGAACCATGACCCGCTTGACCGCGTATGGTGAAAATGACCCACCACGGAGACCGTTCTTCATAGAAAGCATAGAGATCATTTGGCAGGGGACTGGCAATGCCCTCATCCAGGCAAAAACCCACATTCATGTCGGCGAATGAAATTTCATTAGGTGCCCCCATGTTAGTGGGTTGGTGACCGGCCACAAATGGCTGCATGCCACAACCACCTCCAACTTCTTCGTCAGGCACGAAAGTGAGGTATATTGTGCGCCTGGGAACAAATCCCTCCATTTTAAGGCGACGAACAGATTCTAGTTGCTGAATACCAACGCACTTCATGTCCTACAAACGAATGAAGGTAAGAGATGAACACGCCTTTAGTCTGAGTGTAAACACATGAAGTAGACGAGCACTAACTTGAGCGCCTCTACCGTAAATATTCCCATTTGGGGTCATTTCGGCACCGAAGGGATCATGAGTCCACTTCCCGGGATCTACTGGAACCACGTCCATATGAGAGTTGAGCATGACTGAACGCAGTGAACGATCGACACCCTGCCAGCGCATAACCAGGATAGGATTTTTTGGAATGAGTTCCGTGATAAAGCATTCGAGGCCTATGGCCTCTCCTTGCGCGCGAAGCCACTGCACAGCTGCTGAGTAATCAGGATTAGGGTGGACCGTAGGAAACCGGAGATACGTACGAAAATTTTCAATGGCAAGATCATCCAGTTCTTTTGAAGACAGCATTTTATATTATATCTAAACAAATAAGTCGTCTGTACACATTAGTTTGTTTAAGGAATTGGCACTGTTGCGATGATGAAGAGGAAAACCGACTCCGGGACTAAAACGCCACTTGGGCGTTAGAATAGCTACTGCTGTTTCTTTAGAAGTAATATGATTCCATACATACTCTTTAGTGTTTCAAACGTTTTCGCCATGCAGTTCTAAATAAAGAACATTTGCAGCCATTCAACAATGTGTTGATAATCCCCGATACTAAAGTATATAGACACTACAGGAATTTACATGGTTCAATACATATAGAGAAATGAAACATCTTCCAGTAAAATGCGTATGGTATACACAAAATTTTATGACTATTCGAAACGATTGAAGAACCTCGATTATTGACGATACGGGAAACACGTGAAAAACGTCCAAATTAGCATGAACTATTGGTGATAATACCCACAACAATCTATATTCACATTTCACGTCCTCTGGAAAATTTCTATTTCGGAATCAAGTGGGTAATACCAGGTAACAACCAGTTTACAGATTAATTTTTCTATTCAAATATTTCCCGAAGTGTGTGAAAAGCAAATACGTTAACAAACCAACAATGACGAAGTATACTGGTGTTTAGGCCACTACAAATTCCAAAATGAAAACAAATTATGTTCCTAATATGCTGTGGTGTGGTGTGGCGTCGGATTAGGGCGCAGACATGTTGGACCACCTGGTCTCAGCCAATCCCGTGTCTCTCTGCGAT